TAATCTTAAATTAGAAAGGTTTGTGTCGCCACCCTACGATTTTTGTGGTATTTTCTTGTATGAGGAAAAAAAAAACAGGTGTTATTAGGGTGTCGGCACTCGACAGGCTGCTTTTTTAACTGTTAGTTTTGCTTTTAGAAACATTGTAAGTTGAGAATTGGTCAGTGTAAGATTGAAACTGAAAAGTGTTCTTCATACCTGGACGTAAGGGTGTCAGAAAATTAACATCTTTGCAGTGGCTGGTGCATAGTGTTATGGTTTTGGAAAGCGTGACACTCAGACCCATCTTCACAAAGTATTGAATCTGCGCTGTTCTTCACAGAAGGAAATAGAGCTGTGAGGTTCTCATAATCAGGAAGGTTCAGTGAAGAGCACAAAGCTGCATCTAAATGTAGCTCTGCTTGGTAGATGATGGCAGAGCTGCACTTAAAGCCTGAGACCTGTGTTCAGACAATTTAGCACATGCGTCAGCAGATTTGTTCTCTTGTTCATAATACATCCTCAAATCGTCTGTGTCGTCACAGGCTATGTAACCTTGGCAATACCGGAAGTGTATTTTATTGTTGTTGCTCAATATCACGAAAGAATTATGTACAGATTCCAGCACTGCTCATGGAAAGGTGATCAATTCAATGATCAGGAGCTGCAGATCAGGAGAAGTGGCTTCTAGATTTCCTTTTGAGATCCCTTAACTACCTGACTGACACCCTAGGGAAAACGTCAACTGTCACTAAAGTTCTTGCAGGGATGAGTTTAACAGATATGCAGTGCAATCAAAGTCACCAGTTGTGTGTTGTTATTGCTGCTTGTCACATTGAAAGTGTTCCATCTAGTTTGTTTAATGATGCAGTGAATCAGCAATGAGCAGTTCACATGCCATAGTCTCTCAAGCACACCCAGGCCTGAATTCTCATTCTTCTTCACAGAACTGGGAAGAGGAGTGGGAGAAAGTGGTGGAGATGGCCTCTCCTGTGTCCAGTCGCACCGGCCTTCAGTACGATTCGCTGGAGGACATCCACATATTTGTTCTGGCCAACATCCTTCGCAGGCCGTTCATAATCATCGCAGGTACGAACAGAATGAAGCAGGAACTTGTGCGGTGGTTTGTGTCCCGATGTTTTCACTTTTTTTTCCAAAATTGTACTGAGAAAACACATGGGACTTATTTACCCAGGTAAAAAGGTTTGTGCAAAGCTTTGTCTTGCCTGACACAGCCAAAGAGGCTAATTTGATTCCTTCCAGATTAAGGCTCAAAGGCAGTGTTTTCCAGTTACTGTCATGTCCATAAAAGAGAAAAGTTGGGCCCAGGTTTGTCTGGGAATTTCTAAGAAGAGTGTTGGGACACCAAAAGTGTGACAGTGTAGGGTGTAGGAAGCCCAGAGTGGTAGAGGAGTCATTCAGCATCTGAAGGGGAGAAAGAGCTGTTGTTTTATGAGTGCTGGAGATCCAGATGTTTTTGAATCTTGCCGAAGGGTTAGGGGAAAGCAGTCACAGTCTGGAAATTCTGGTCAGCTTTCATTTTTGTCTTCGAGCGTGTGTGGGCTGCCTTTGACGGACGGCTCCTGGAAATGTCGAGCTCGGGCTGTAGCATTTCACCCGAGAGATGACAATGTTTACTTCTTTTTTTTTGTTTTTAGCACAGCTCAGTGTTTGCATTGAATAATCCTTTAGAGATCAAATTCTCCACTATGTCTTGAACCTGATATAGTTATTGCCTTTAGAAATTCAAGATTGCTGCTTCTTGGGAAAGTCATCGGCACAGGTTTAAGTGGTTAAGAACTGGAAAGACTTCAGCTCTGGACTCTTGACACTTGTGAAAGTGTTGTGAAAGGCCCTGGATTCTGTTTTGACTCTAAATATCAACATGCAGTATTCATGTTGACCTTGGGTGTTATTTCAGATGCCTTGTCCCATTCCTGAGCATAATGAAACAATTGAGAAAGACTGATAACGGGGAGTAGAACAGAAACAATTCAGACTCAGGGCTGAACCTTGGTAGACTTTTAGAGTCGGCATCAGGGTTTCTCTGTAAGCACACTGTGAAGGAAGAGAGTGGATGAATTCTATGTTTTTTTTATGACTGAATGACTGCTGTCAGCAGTCAAGATTGTTTTAGCTCTGGCTCCTCTGTCAAGCCCTGAAGTCTCAGGCTCATATGTGGGGTTAATATGTCAGGTGCTTCTTTTTCATTCAACAGATCAGGTCTTGAGGAGCATGAAGTCTGGTACGGCCTTCTCCCCTCTCCATGTTGGAGGCATTTACCTGCCTCTTCACTGGCCTCCGGAGGAGTGCTACAAGTATCCCGTCGTCCTCGGCTACGACTCCCAGCACTTTGCTCCCCTCATCACCATAAAAGACAGCGGTCCAGGTGCGAACATCTAACTGCATCTAACTCTCTTGTATATTCCTAAGCAGTTTATATAGTTCGATTTAGCATTCCTAACTGCTATATGAGGTCCAGCTCATGGAAAAACCTGCACAAGGTTAATCAACATTTTCAAATGCATTATGTTTAGATGCAAACTGCATCGTGAATTGATGTCTTTTTACTGCATGCATTGTGAAGAGCTCTAGATGAACATTGCTGAGATCTGAGCAAAGCGTGAAAGATTGTGCACGCAAAGAGCACGTCCTCAAGTTCAAGTTCTGTTATCCAAAGTGCATTTTGGTTGTTTATTTCATTGTTCCACATCCTCTGTACCACCTACACTACATGTTTGCATTGCTTAGTGCTACACACATGATCGGTTTTACATTCCGTTAAATCACATTTAGTAATTTAGCCAATCAGCTGTTTAATTGATCATAGATTGAGTGCTCCAGCTCTGAAGAAATCGAGGATTTTGTGGAAATGGGGGTCTCCAGAATCATGGTTGGAGACCCTGGTTTATGCCCATTCTTTAGTGTGTGGTTTGGTCTGATAAGAGTTTGTTAGAGCAGTGCCTGGCGGTGTGCTAAGACGAAGAGCAGTCCAGCGAAGTCAGCGTGCACACCTCCCCTTGAGCCACCTCCCCATTAACTCATTGAACATGCGTGTCTTTGCAGAAATTCGAGCCGTTCCATTAGCGTATCCGGGACGGGGTGTCTTTGAGGACCTCAGAGTGCATTTCCTCATCAATTCTGAGAAAGAGGAAAAGGATAAATTGATCAAGGATTACTTGACACTCATCGAAATACCCGTGCAAGGCTTTGGCTATGATACCACGCACATTATCAATGCAGCAAGGTGAGTGAAGCTTCTCCATGCAGAGATGTTTCCAGTGAGGCTACAGCTTCACCATTGTTTAGATCATGTTATGTATTTCCTTTAGGAAACAAATGGCATTATGCGCAAAACCTAACAGACTGACGTCTTAATAAAAGTCCAGAAAAAAATATAGAAGTTTAACTTAGTGATCAACACCAGCTGTTCCTTGATATTGTTTCATAACTTCTAGAGAAATTGCAACTTTGTCCCCGAGAGGAAATCAGAGGCAAAGTACTTGTCAGTCGTCAGTCGTGTGCTATGTTTGACTTTCTGACCGTTGTAACTTTACTGTAAGCTGAAAGGAGACAAAAAAAAACCATAAAACCACCCTCTTGTGTTGCATTCCTGGGGCTGTGGAAAGCATCTGATGCGCTGTATTGCAGCACGAGGTGCAGAGTGTCGCCATATCTGACCTCCCAGGGTGCTCAGCTCACAGCCCGTTTCTGGTTGGTGTCCGCAGGCTGGACGAAGGTAACCTGCCGGAGGACATGGACCTGATGGAGGACTACCTGCAGCTTGTGAACCACGAGTACAAGCGCTGGCGGGAGAACTCGGAGCCCGCCCGGCAGCCCCGGCCCAGGGCCGCCCCAGACTTCTCCGTATCCCAGCTGTCCCTCATCGAGGCCAAGTGCGCCACCAACAGGTGCGCCTTCTACGCCTCCGTCAACACCCAGCCCTTCTGCCACGAGTGCTTCGAGAAGCAGCGGGCGGGCGGGAGGCCGGAGGTCCGGCCCAGGAGCCAGAGCCCGCTGGCGGGGTCGGAGCCCGAGAGCAGGGGCCGGGCCGGGTCGCCGGGAGGCACCGCTCTCCCCAGCCCCCGCGCCGCCCCGCCCACAGCCCCCAGCCTCAGCCTCTACAGCGAAACCCACGCCATGAAGTGCAAGACGCCGGGCTGCCTGTTCACCCTGAGCGTGGAGCTGAACGGACTCTGCGAGCGCTGCTTCGGCGCCAGGCAGGCCGGTCGGGGAGCCCCCGCGGCCCCTCGCGACCTCCCGCCGCAGGGCGCGCGGTGCAGCCTCTGCCAGCAGGAGGCCTTCTGGGGGTTTAACGGGCTGTGCCCCTCCTGCGCGCAAAGGACTGGGAGCCAGGGGGTGGCTCTGCCGCGCCACCAGGTGTCCAGGCTAGACGCGGCGCAAGCCGGGTGGGCGTGGCCCCAGCTTTCTGGCGCAGTGTCCAGCGCCGAGGAAGCTGGCCCTCCGGCCCCCGGCCCAGCGGCACAGCCGTGCAAGAAGCGGGGCTGCCAGTACTTTGGAACAGAAGAGAAACTGGGATTCTGCACCCTGTGTTTCCTGGAGTACGAGACCAACTGCAGTGAGTGAACTTAGGAGAGGCTTAAAAATGTCTTTCATGCCCTTTCGCAGTTGCATAAGTGGTAGATCTCAGAGGCTCCTGTTAAAGTCTTGACTGATCAAAGTAGACACTGTGGGCCAGAATTATAGTAAACTGCCTCTGAAGCGTTATTAAAGTCTTTGGCCTCTGGACTATAACGTAAGGCCTCTTTCACACCTGTGGTAACGGTCACTGTAATGGCTGACGTGGCTTGGCCATTTTAGCGACAGGAAGTGAATCATCATGACGATCTCGCCCGCTACGGAGCCTTTGTTCCGCCAGCATATGCAGGTCTTGTCAGGGGAAAGCTGTGTTCAGCTTCCGTAAGAAGGAACCCCCCAAAAAAAAACGACTTGCCTTGATATGGAAGGTTTCTGGTGCATCAGTCCAGAACTCCACGAGTTTGGAGCACAGGAGACACAGTTAGTTAGCACCACGAATCCACTCATTGAAAAGGACATCATCTGGGCTAGCCAGAGTCTGGGGGGATACCGGTGTTGCGATGAGGGTGCGAGTCTTAAAGAGCTGTCTGCCTTTGCAGGAGAGGAGCCTCTCGTGGCCCTCCAGAGAAGGTCTCCGTCTCCGGGCCAGGCCCGTTCGGAAGCCCCGGTCTTCCAGAACTCCTCCCGGTGCCTGGGCCACAGCTGCAGCCACGTGGGCAGCTCCATGTTCGAGGGCTACTGCCAGAAGTGCTTTGTGAAGGAGCAGAACGAGAGGCTGAGAGAAGCCAGACAGCCCAGCCCGGCTCTGATCATGGTGAGAGCCCCTGTCTTCCGCGCCGGGTCACGCCACCCTGCCGCCGCCGCCAGCCCAGTCCGCCGGGCCTCTGTGTGTGGACAGGAGCCTGGCGTGTGCCAAGGCTCCCACACGCTAGGGCTCACTGTTCCTCTCCTTCACCTGATCTTGAATGTTTGAGGTGTTATCGTTAAAAAAACCTTAACAGGGGAAGGGAAATGATTTATCTGGAGTTTGACCAGATGTGAGCATTTGATGTTTCTTGAGGTTTTTTTTTATTTTAAAAAAAAAAAAGCTAACTGTGTGTTAAGGGACTGTCCCGGCACTTCAACAGGACGTGTTGGAAACTGGTTTCCCCGTAACGTGTTTAAGTATAATCCACCTTGCGTTGATTTTTTTTCAAATGCCTTCACTTAGTGAGCCTTTGGTCCCAGACTCCAAATAGTAACTCACCCCTTTACAAAGAACTAAACCATCTAATGTAGGGATATCTGAAAATGTGCAAAAGAAAGGAAAGAAATGGAGACGTTTATTGACAGTTGTTTTATTCCTCTCCTTATGTGCGGAAATATCCAGAGAGCAACACAGCAGAGGGACCAGCACAGCCCTGTGAAATGCAGCCGCAGCAGCTGCAACAACGTCACGTCAGTCAGGGGGCAGATGTGTCCGGAGTGCCACTCCAGGGATGTGAGGGGCCACCGCAGGGGACAGGCAGCTGAGGAGACGCCTAAACAGCGATGCAGGACCCAAGGTTGTGACCACTACGCCAATCAGGAGAAGCAAGGCTACTGCAACGAGTGTGACCACTTTAAGCAGATCTACAGGGGTTAAAGTGAAGGCACCTTGGACTCCCGAGCCTTATTATCTTGTTATCTTTAACATTCACGTGATCAGGAGGCAAACACCTCTGTCTCTCAAGAGCAGCCTGACGGCTTGACGCAGTTCGTGGTGTAGAAATGACTGAGCTTGCCGAAGCACAGCAGACACTTGACGTTTCGTCCTTTGTGATAATGTTCACCTGTGTTGACGGTGTTTCATTAGGCAATACTATTGGGATTAATCCCTGTGTTACATTCACACTCTAAAGCTGTTTAACATTCGTCACTGCAAGTGAAAATGCAGACTCTGCTTTCTGGGTATATCTAACAGCGGTCAGCTGGGAAGTTAACCTGGGTAAGGCTAAGCTCTGTGCCGAGTCACTTATCAAACACAAGCTGCTACTTGTTATCCTGCTACTTGGGAATGTTAGCTCCACGATAGCAAGAATGTGTCTGATAAAGCATAAGTCTGGATCGGTTTTGTCGGAAGAAGGTGCTAAATATACACTAAAATATTCAAACCATTTTTTTTTTGCAATACTGGATCAATTTTCATAGGTAAGGTTTGCATTTAACCCTAACCTTCACCCCCGTAGATGTGTGCTTAAATCTCTCGATGGGCTGTTTGACAGCACAATAATGATTAAAAACTTGTATTTTTATGTCATTTCACAAAGTGACTTTGGAGGCCTGAAAGAAGTGTTCACTTGGTCATATCTGAATCGGTTTGACCTGCTAGAATTGGCATAAAGTCCACGAGTTGCATAAAGTCTGAGAGCTGCCCTAATTAATTCTGCAAGAAGCCAGTCAGTCACAAACCTCTGGAAGCATGCTGGAGTCTTTCACTGACCCTGTAGTGCAGAGTTACTTAACCCTGCATTTCCTCCAGTCCTCTGTTGGTGATTGTGGTTATCATTGCTTTAAATGATAGTTTACAGGATCAGTCAATGTGCTGCCCTGTTGTAGAGTGGAAAACCTGTGTGTCAAGTAGCCAGTAGCCCTGGTGTAGTGAAAATAATAAGTAATTGCAGACACATGGTGATAACTGACAATACAGACCTGACAAGTGTCTGTGACTCATCACTATAGTTTCTCTGCAGTTTTAGTACAGCAGCTTGTCCAAAGGATGGTGGAATGATTAATATTATTATGCCCCAAATTAGAAGGCAGTCCTCATTATTCACTGATGATTTCCGGTCAGGAGCTGGATGTCCCGATTGAAAATTTTTAGTTTACAAAACTCCCATCATCTCCCACTTGTTTTACTCATGATAAATGTGTTATTGTTCTCCTGAGAATTATAAACCTTGATTGTGAGTACGGGTAAAGAGAACCAAGGTTTAGATTCACTAGAAATCCAACCCATCACTTGCTGCAGCAGAGTTCTTCGCCCAAGTAAAGGGAATTTAGAAGGGACTGCTTGTCAAGTTAAGTGTGGTTCTAACAGTAACACGTTATATTCAAAAAATTATAGTTTATTTTATTTGAACATTAGGATAATGTTGAAGACAGTGGGTGCCAATAATCATGGCTGTGGCAGAGTTTGTGTATAAAACATTTTACCCAGCAATTATAAACCCTCAGAACGGCTTTTGGGCCTGGAAAACTGCCAGTCATACACGGACACCTCACAGGAAGCTCGACATCCGCAGATCAAACACGCAGAAGCTGTTTTCCTGCTCTGAAGTTCTGCAGGCCTCAGGCAGGGATTCCTCACCTTGTGTACAACCTGCCTTTGCGCTGCTCTGGGCTAGTTGCTTTTCACAGTCGGAGCCGGTTCCTGTTTGACTTCAAGTTGCGCCAACACCCTTGTTTTTCTGATGGGTTGGTTTTTGTGGGCATTTTGCAACTGTGAATTTTGTGCAATATCATGTTGATATGCTTTCACCATAAAAACAATAAGCCATTTTGACCATTATTAGCATCACGGCCTATTTGGTTAGGCCTTGTCTTTCCCCTTGAAATCTGTTCTGATCTAGACCTGCAGTTCAACAGGGACCAAAGGGATTTCTTCTGAAACCAGTGTGGAATTTGCAACAAGTCGTGGAAATAGTGGGGGGAAAAAAAAAACCTTCTTGGTCTTTCTGACCATCTTGATCTTTGTAAGCTCTCTCTAAAAAGGGAAGGTTTTTCTTTTCAAAAAGATCTGCCTGGATCTGGATTCAATGAAGCAGAATTGCACAATACTTCAATAAGCTGTTCTGTAAAAAAAACCCAATGTAAATATTTAAAACTGATGTTGCTTAGGAAGCAAACTGTTCATATTCCGACAAATATGGTACTTTCTGTGCTTTTGGCACATCCTAGAGAAGGATGAAGTTTGATGACATTTTGCTAAACCTTTCTGTCAAGCTCTGTTAGGAGCTATGTTAGGAAACATTGAAGCTATTATTTTGTTGTCCTTCATGTATTTATTCATTGGGAAAATAGAGATTACTTAGATTATGAATACAATTTATTTATGCACATCATCAAGAAATAAATTATTTTGAATACGTGCTGCCTCTTTCTCTCCTTGTGTTCATTGACTGTATGTGGCAGTTTTCGGTGGTAGTGGTTTTGTCTTTTTGCCCATTCACTCAAAATGGGGCCAATTACAAGACGCTAATATGTGGCTCTTTTTTATACCCTGTTTATTGGATGTGAACACAATGTGTACAAAGCTGGGTTTTATATGAGTTATCTTGATTCACTCTGGGATTTTAGCTTAATGAGAGACTAGTGCAACTGCACTACAGATGAAAGTGAAGAACTAAGACTACAAAGGGGATGATGGTTTTATAGTCCTGATGCATTTCCAAGAAACCTTGTGTAGCGGATGAATTAGGGAAAAGGGCGGATTTATGATTGTGTGGGCTTTTCACAAGGATTTCTCTGCGTTGCTTCAAAATGTGCTCCTCACTGCAAAAGTTCTTGAAAAGGGGTTGCACAGCACAGTTACATCACTACATCCTGGCTCCTGCAGACAATGGTTATTTCCCATCTTCCATCGTCTGGAAGAAACAATTTCAATGGGAAATCGGTGACAGTGGTGCAGCCTGGTTCGTTCTCCATACTGGAAGTCTGGAGAATTTGTCACATCGGGTGAGGCCTCCATTGAGTAGCTGGGCTCACCAGTACAATGATGCTGCACCCCTGAGGGCTGGGTAATGCCGAACTCTCCCATGGCAGGAGTCCTGGCCTTTAGCTCCAACAGAAGTTGAGCGACTGTAGGCAGAGTTGAGGCATGAGTGGCCTTGATTAAATATTACCCGGAAGTGTACTAACCATCGTACAGGCACTATCTTTGCAAGCTGTTATCTTAAAAAGAAATCCATAATAATATCATGCGAAAGGCCTCAGTTTGGGCAGGAGTCTCAGACTCTTTTAAAGCATCGTGTATTAAACTGCCCCTCCGTTTCCTTACAGTGTCTTCCTGTCCATAGGTTTGCTCTTCGTTTTTCTTTTTCATTCTACACCAAGTGAGGACTTGCAATCCCTTCGCAGAGTGTACCAGGATCACTCGAGGGGAACTGGATCTTTTGTGACAACGCTCCCGGAACGTCTTAGTGTGATCTATTAAATAGCCAGTGCTGCCCACTTGCTTCTGACTTCAGTAGCTTAAAGTGTGGTCTGCAGATCTTAGGCCAACCCGTGTTTGGTATTTCGAGCAGAAAGAAAATATTGAGAGATTAAAAGCGTGCCAGTATATCAGTGGAATTATAGTGTGCTACAAGTTCAATCCTGAGTAATCAATCTGTAAGAAATAATATTGAAACTAGAGGAATGAAAACTCATTTTTGATAAGCACTGGATAGACTTTAATCTGTCAGGCGAGAGATAATCACCCCCCACATCATGTGACACTCAGGGCTAAACTGAAGAGCTGCAGAGGTTCTGTCTCTGCTAAATGAGATCCAGGCTATGAAACAGCAGCTCTGTAAGTGTGCACCATCTGGAGAAGAGACAAAGCTGAATTCTGCTCAGCAGGTCAAATAGCATGCTAAGTTGGCAGTCATTACATTTTGTCTTGAGATTACATAAATATTTTTACTTCTCAGGTGGAAATTCCAACCATAACTCTCGATCGCTGGATGTTTGGAAAACGTTGCATACGAAGACATCTGGTAAGTAGCTCTGCGGCTAGATGCGTGGAACACAACACCTAGAATAAAACAGAGCAGGCACAAACACAACACTGTCCAGTAGCCTGGTCTTGTGTATTCTGCAGGGCCTGGCACAGATACTCACAGAGTGACCCAATATATGCAAATGGGTTTCAGGATAGTTCCCCTTCAGCGTCAGACAGGCAACATTTCAGGCTCATCTGACCTGTCAGCACAATTTGATATGCTGATCTTCAGTAAGAAAGACCAGGATTAATTGTCAGGCAAAGGGTTTGTGTTAAGGCTAAGCATGCACAGCAGTAATAGAGGCATCACTCATCTCTCAAGACAATTACAAGAGGCTGGCTGGGGGTGGATAAAGGGGCACTAACTTTGAGAACAGAAGACCAAAACGTCCAGGAGTTCAGATTTCACTTTTGAGAAAAGCATGCTGGCTGGGGCCCCTCTGACATTTTCTGCTTTTTTTAAAAGATTTCTTTCTCCATGTCATAGCGAGAGCCAGCCCACGATTTTTGAAATTTTACTAAAATCATTTGAAAACAGGCAACCCCCCTCCCCATCCGAAAGAGTTGAATCACGTCGCAGAAAGGAAAGTCTTTCTCAGACTAACAGTCAGGCTCTGCCACCCGAGGGTGGGGGTATTTGTGGTGGTGGGAACTGTGACATTTGAGCTCTGCGGAGGAGGAGGAGCTGTGCTCCTGGGGGCGGCTGCTGATTTAGGCTTGTCGAAAAAAAAACAACAAAGAGCTTCCTGGGGCTTCCGTCTCTGTCGACAGTAACCGTCACCTGCAGTCGAGGCGGGAGCTCTTCCCGACGGAGGAAATGTGAGCCGGGCGGCGCAGCCGGCAGTCTGGAGCAAATTGAACGCTTCAACCGCCGGCTTGACCTTAGAGAGGAAGGTGCAAACGCCACCTTTCTTGCACCCGGCCCCTCGCCCTGGAAAATTCATCTCCAGTTCTGTCCTGGGTTTCAACAACAACACAAACAACTAAAATCAAAAAGGTTTGAATGGGGTCTGGGAGTTTCTCATGACGTCACCCACATTTTGCGCCGATAAGTGGTTCTTTCTGGATTCGCCTTGATACGTCCACTCTTCCTCACAGCGCTGCAGTGACAGGAAAGAGCCTTGTGCTGACAGGTGAAACGCCGGCAGATTTGCATAATTCTCTGCGAGGGAAAAGGCACCGGCTACAGATCGACATTAACCAAACAGACACAGGCGAGAGAGTTTGGCTACGATTTGGGATCATCTGCACAATATCGTAGATAATTGCTAATTGCAGTCACACCCCCTCAGGTATTTATAGGAAGATCTGAACTACATAAACCACAAAAGGCATTAATGTTGAGTTAGAATGTAAATGAGAAAATTTCTATATACAGTAGGTCCAAATGTAATCCCATAATTATTTTCTTAACTTTCATAGACGATGGGGCACAGTTGATTCCTACTGATATTTTGCCATGTTTAAAAAGTACTGCAATTCTCTTTTGTTTTTGTAAGTAGGACTGCTCACAGTAACCAAGACATGTTTTCCTCTTTGCAGGTGCGTTTGAATTCACTAAAGCAACAAACACTGCAAAAGAAGGCTGCAGTGAGCCACACACATGGCAGGTGTGTGGTTTTATTGACAGCGACCCTGCCTGAAATAGAGGCATCAGTGATGCTAAGATCTAAGATATTTGACCTCTGGCCATGTGAGCTCAGCAATGGCATCTGTAGGCCTCCCTGGTCCCACAGTGGACTGGAAAACGTCTCCTAAACTCCTCCCACAGGTGGGGGCAGGGCGTTTTCTGTTCTGTTCTGTTAATTGGTGATTTATAAAGTGCCTTTACATAGTGATAAAGAAGAAAAAGCGACAAAAATAATAAAGAGTAAAAAAAAATGAAAGCACATACAGGATAAACTGTATGGGAGATCCATAACAATGGAACAGCAACAGAAAAATGCCTGGCCAACAACAATCTGATATTTAGCCCTGGGTACAGTGACTGACGGACAGTGAGTTCAGAGACGTGTGTTTAGTTGTAACCCTGAGTGCTGGAATGCGAGGATGTCAGACTACTGTCAAATCCACTTTGAACAAAAAGCGACACTCATTTGTAGTTTTATTAAGTGTTAAATAGCACTCCTGTGATGCGACTTTACAGACAGCCAAAGTAGAGATTTGAGTGCAGGAGTGAACTGCTGCCAGGGTCTGGTGTGAGCTAGAAGAACTGCAGAGGTTTGGACACATTGCAGCTTACTGAGAAAAGTGTTTCCACACAGCAAAAAGAGTTGCAGAAATCGAGCACTCGATGTGTGAATTGTGTAATTAATGTGTCATTGCAATGAAATAATTGTGTTAAATAATGATGTACTCCCACAATTCTTTCAATGACGGCACTAAAAATCTACAGCTGTTATGAAAACAGGAAGTTGCACAAGTGTATCCTGGTGTGTTATGCAGACTGTAGACTTCTGCTCTAGAATAACCGTTTTATGATACTCGTTAGCATTTCCTTCTCTGTCATCATTTCTGGTAGCTGGCTCTTCCTACGGCAGAAATCTGTGTACAAGGTAATTGTGATTGCACATCTTCACGCAGAGCAAGAGAGGTTTTAACTCGCCTGTGTGGAGTTTGTCTTTCCATGGGTCACAGAAGCGTTGAGACTTTCATTTCAGTTCCAACACACAAGTCTCTCGAGATTTCTGCTTTCCTTCAGTGCAGGGGAGTGTCTTCCAGAGCCCGGCCTGTTCAGGTACTCCGCTGCTTGTGAGAAAACCCCAGACGCAGACACCTCGTTGGATCAAGTCTTGAAGAAAGGCATTTCTCTCTTACTGCGCGAGGACCATCACTCGGCACACCGTGTCGGATACTGATACTCCACACGCTGCACTGCACAAAACTCATCTCTCTCGGATACCAGCGGCTTCCTCTGTAACCCTCTGTGCTGGAAAGCCAGAATGTCAGAATTCTGTCAAATCCACTTTGAACAGGAATTTACACTCATTAGTACCTTAAGTAAGTGCCTAAAACATTCCCGTGATATCTTCACTTGAAGATACAGGTGAACATCTCTTTCAGATGCAGTGTTCGCATTTCTCTCCTGATATTTGACTTCTCCCCTCTCGGAGCGTGCCCCCAAGTGATGTGGGATTTATCCACGTGCACCCTGGGGCTCTCGCACCCCAAGCAGTGTGTGTGACTCAGCTTTGCATACTTAGAAAGGTTTCAGATCTGGCTCCATTCTAATGTAGTATCTGTGGATGCCCATCAGACCACAGCTTTACTTTACTTTTCTTGCATTCTCTCTGATGTCAATTCCAGTCTTTTCATCGAAAATATTGAGCTTTCGGGCAAGTGTAGATTTATCTCGTTTTCATGTAAGGAAAAAGGTGGGCCTGCTGG